AAACGCAGTCGTATGCACGATTGTGTGTAATTAGTGGGTTAATACAGTCATTCCAGGAAAGATAAATGAGACAAGGTAGACGTTATTTTTGGTTCACAAATTAAAACTTATAGTCATTGCTTATAATTGGGATGAGATAGACTAAATGCTAATTTTTCTAGGTGATTTACTTATAACTCTTATAAACCATTCCACCAACATCCCCATTGGCAAAGAACGGTGCAGAGGGCGAAAAATAACTCAAATAGATCATAACGAATAAACCAAACACTTAGGTGAAAATTGAGAAGTGGGTATGAGGATTTATTCAAAACAAAATCTCAACTATATGAGCAACTGGGCCTTATTTTAATAGTGGTGGTCCCGTTGGAGTATCATAGGAGGGTTTTGTACGCTTCAAAGCACAGACAGCGGTCGGCAAACATATGACGGTTGGACAATTCTTGCTGGCTCTTTTGGCACTTGTCGGTCTACTTGATTCACCAATTAAATGTCTTCTCTTAACAGTCATTTGTGGTGTCAACAAGTTCAACATTCGGCTTCTTTTTCCGAAAGGCAAATGTTAGCTTCTTTTATCAGTATGGTTGCGTCCTACTCATAGTCGCTACGAGGTGATGAAATATTTATGTGGTCATTGCTCTCATAACTGAAGGTGATTGGTATTTCCCTACTAGTTTAACCTGCATACGTATGTCTCCCTGGATGAGACACAAATCGGAGCAAACCGCAAGCTGGCCAGTGCTAATTCTTGAATGTTCCATCTGTTGCCCTTGACAGACATCATTACTTTAGCTACCCTTTTTTCCAGGCGCAGATATAAACGCATTATGCAGAGTAGCTGGATAGAATGCTATTTTTGGCTCAAAACCGGGGTTAAGCTAGAATTTCTGTTATTCTAGTGATGGTTCTTACCAACAGAACCTTTTAGTTTCCACTTTCCTCACTATTTGTTCTTCAACAAGATAATACTGTGAAACATACCAAAAATTGAGTTCTCTTTTTTTAAGTGATGCAATGCACATGGTGGCATGGACGAAGAATGAATTGCAGTCTACTTGGCTATGCTCATTGGATGGGAATAAATAACTGAAGACTAGGCTGACTGTATAAAAGTTACCATTCTATAAACTTGACTTAAAGTCCTCTATCGTAAGCAAATTGCAAGAAGGCAGGAAAATTGGTGCTTATCGGTTTATCTGCAAGTCATGTACACAGGCCGGCAGGTTATTTTACGCGGTTTCGTTCACTACTGGCAGATGCTATAAGAAGTGTTCATGAAGGGCGTTAGTGTCAGCCTAATTGATACCCCTGTTAAAACCATGTTTCGTTATTTCCAATAGTTGGACAACCCATGTGAACACATCAATAAAATCCAATCACCAGGCCAGCGCCGCCTACTTCCACAATATAAGTTATTGTCAAAATATTTTTAGTCTTTGCTAACATATCATATAACCCCTCCTTCTGGAATGCGTGGGTTTAATTACACTCGGCGATTGCGAATATTTCCTTCTAATGAAAGCCCTTAAAAGCATTTCTGGCGTCCTATGCTTCCATTTCAAGGTAGCGATAGTCTCCTTACATGTCGATCTACAAACCTGCAACAGCAAGCTCTTTCGCATCACCTAACTGCGCATCATCCACGTTATTAGTAGGGAAGTGTTAGCACAATTCAGGACTCCGCTTTCTCCTTCCCCAATTAGGACGAAAGGGCACAAGGAATGCAAATGTCCGCACATTCAAGAGCTGCTGATCACCTAGGAAAGATCCACTAACCTTAATTCTGAGGTACTCAAAAAGTGAGTAACCACAATGAACTGAGTAAACTGAATGCAGGGGTTGGAAAATAATGCAAGCCGAGGGTGCTTCTGGAGTATGATGAAACAAATATTCCACAGTTTCCAACAGCCTTAAAGACCAAGGAACGCTTTATGTTGTGAACTTTTAAAAATAACCAAGCGTATCTAGTTAA